TCATGCATGATAGCGGCACTTTGCCTCCGGAGATTCTAAAGTTATACGAGTCGTCACCAGCTATCAAAAGTTCACCTTTATCTCTACATGAAATACGTCGTTTGATACATGAGCCAATCCAGTTAAAGGCAACAGCAACCTTCAAAGAGTATCGCTATGTTGAAATGATCTTCGGAAAACCGTCTGACTACGAAGAACTGATGGCCCGAGATACAGAAAATTACAATATTAATAAGTTGCTCGATCAAGCCATGGAAAAACGCATAAGTCAATTCTCGGTGTCTAGTTGATACTTTGTATGTGAACTATTTTCTTTATTTTGTGGTTCCGTTGGAGCAAATTGTGTAATCGATTTGTGTATATTGAGTTCATGTATAAAGGTTGAAGTTATGTGTTGTAGTTTTCTTAAGAAAAAAAGACTAAGGGCGAGTGAGAGACGCGCAATCGATGTGTTTTGTACCCTCCAGCTCTCCCATAGTCTCTACTCCCCTGCCGCTGCAAACGCTAGCAAAACGCTGGTGAAACGCTGGAGAAACGCTGGCGTACGCCAGCGTGCCGCTGGTGACGCTGGTGAAGCTAGATCGATATGCATCCTCTCTTCGGCACTGCCGCTGGCGTACGCTGGAAGCGCTACGCTACGCTGCCGCAAAGTATAAACGCAGCCTAAAGTTGTGGCTTGATAGGGCCCTTATAAGGGCACCTTCCTCGGGGAAACCGCTATGCAGCGCCTGCCCAGGGTCGCGGAATTCTATCCTGCCAGGAGTATTGATCCTAGTCGTCTTGGGGGATTTATCGTGTCAACTGCCTTTACTGCGCAGTTTCGGTAGGCGCACGGATCGGAGTGTAGCTTCGATATAACGATATCGATAAAACAACATCTTTTCGACCTAGAAGAAGTATTTGCACGCATTAGAGCGTTTGGAATGAAACTAACTCTGGAAAAGTGCTCATTTTTCCAAACGAAGTCAAATACTTAGGTGTACTCATTAGCAAAAACGGCACTCGTCCTAATCCAGACAAAGTAGCCAGCATAGCTAACATCCCTAGCCCTACAAATGTGAAGGCACTAAAATCATTTCTCGGAGCTGCATCCTACTTTCGTAGTTTCTCTATTATCGCTACCCCGCTACACAACCTGCTCATGAAAGATACACCGTTCGTATGAACAGCTGCGCACGAACAAGCATTTCTTACTTTGAAGCAGGCCCTTATTGAGGCACCCCTTCTGGTTGCACCCACATTTGGTAAACAATACATAATCCACACGGACGCGTCTACAAACGGTCTAGGAGCTACCCTGCTGCAAACTAATCCCAAAACGCAATTAGAGCATCCAATTGCCTATTGTAGTCCGCTCACTAAACAAGCACGAGAAAAACTATGCGGTCATCGAATTAGAAGCTTTAGCAATTGTATTTGCACTAAAGCAATTTTACCCTTACGTAGCGAATGCGCTGATAACGCTGGTCACGGATCATGCTCCTCTTAAATCACTCATGCACAGATCAGACCTCGTAGGTCGTCTTGCTAAGTATCAAATCGCTATACAAGGCTACGACATTAAAATCGAATACCGTGCAGGAAAACATAATACGTGTTTGGAAAGCATTTTTTGAGTCACTATCCACTACCACGCGTTAATACCATGATAGCTCAAACTTTTCCTCCTCTCGAAGAGATTTAAGAAGTCAAAGAAACTCCAAATATGGTCCACTTTTGAAGTTTCTGAACAATGAATGGGAAGACCCACCTCAAGAATTCGAGGATAAATCACACCAATACTCCATTTTTAACAATTCATTGTACTATACAATCCACGACCAAGCAAAACTACGATTCCAGATGCAAATATGCAATCACACATAATTGCTATATACCATGACAATCCGCTAATAGGATCGCATCTAGTCGGCTCTTTAACCAGCTCCATCGGCTATTTTTTGGCTCTACCTCATACAACTCAACTACCTCTAGCCATCGCACGAATTCCTCCAATGCTGTACCACCTCGTGTAGCTGAATCATGTTGGATTATTACATCGCACACAGTGAACAGATGCTCCTTTCATTTCATCAGCACTTCACTTGTATACATATTCTCGCCAGTCAGTATGTATCCCATTATACGTTCAAGGATACTTGCGAGAAGAACTTCGAACAACATGATGGAAGCTCAAAGCTCGAGGACGAGCTTACTGTAAGGAATGGAGATGTCGTATCCTCGTTGCGAAGGCAAGAGGAGCCAATCGTCGCATGCCACCTGCCGTCCAGCCTTTCGTAACCGGCGGCCATGAGTATTTAAGCTGCTGCCAGCCGGCAGCAATGGAATGGAATGGAATGGCTTCGCCTCGCCACCTACGCTAGGAGCTGGTCGTCTCACGCCTCGGCCCGGCTCCGCCGGCCTCCTCCTCTCCTCTCCCCTTTCCCTTTTGTATCGTATCTTTCTATAATAAACATTCATATAACCCAGTTCAATGTTCATACATAGAACACCGCTACACCCATCGGATGAAGGCCCGTCACCCTTCAATCTGATATCTTTAAGCGATTGTAACTTTCTTAATACTCATCGGATTTAATCGAAATAAGCACCATTCGAATCAGCACACTTTTGCCAATGTGACAGCAGTCGAGAAATCCCATCAAAGAAAAAACTGGGTGGTCGAGAATTCACGAAATCCACGAAGGCTTTTTTGCCTGGTCCTGATTGATGAAGTATTTCCCATTATCTTCCAAAAAGGAGGAGAGCTCGGCGTTAGCCGGGCGATCCGACTGGTGATATCATAAGGCATTATATTAGGTTGTCCGGAAAGTTCTGCACGTTCGAGTGTTACTTTAAACGATCATAACTTTCTTAACACTCATCGGATTTAATCCAAATAAGCACCATTCGAATCAGCACACTTTTGCCAATGTGACAGCAGTCGAGAAATCCCATCAAAAAACTGGGTGGTCGAGAATCCACGAAATCCACGAAGGCTTTTTTGCCTGGTCCTGATTGATGAAGTATTTTCCAGCAAGGAAGTTCTGAAAATGTTTGAAAAGGTGATAGTCGGTTGGTGAAAGGTCTGGAGAATATGGCGGGTGAGGTAGAAACCCAATTCGTTCAATTTATGGATAGTGATTTGTGAAACGTGTGGGCGGGCGTTGTCATGCAAAAGAATCGCCTTTCTGTTGACAAGTGCTGGCTGCAGCTGACGCAATTTTCGGTACATTTCGTCGATTTCTTCACAGTAGGACTCTGCTGTGATGGTTTGGCCTGGTGACAAAAAGTTATAGTGGATCACACCAGCCGATGACCACCACACTGTGACCATAATCTTTTGAGGATTCGGCTTTGGAAATTGCCTCGGTGGTTCGTCGGCATCCAACCACTGTCCGGAACGTCTCCTGTTATCATACATGATCCACTTTTCATCACAGGTGACAATTCGGTCCAAAAACGGAACCGAATTGCCACCTGTGACGCGTTTCTGTTGCGCAAAAGCAGTGAAGAAGCCTCGAGACGTGCCAATTTCTGCCGGTCACTCAAATTGTGGGGCACCCACTTGTCGAGTTTTTTCACCTTCCCAATGCGTTTCAGACCATCCGCAACAGTGGATTTGCCAACGCCTAGCTCAATCTCTCGAACTGTTTGGGATGGGTCAGCCTCCACAAACGCCTTCAAATCCTCGTCAGGTATTGCTTTAGGTCGACCGCTACGAGGTTCATCTTCAAGGCTGAAATCTCCAGAACGAAATTTGTCGAACCATTGTCGCACGGTGCTTTCTCCAACACTATTGGGCCCCCACACCTGGTTAATTTGTCGAGCTGTCTCGACTGCGGATTGACCCAATTTGTAGTTGAAGAAAAATATCGTCCGAAGTTGCTCTTTTGACATGCTTCAAAAAGTCTTGGGAAAAGGGGTTTATCAAGCAATGGTGAAACGGCAATTATACCATCAGATAGCGCAAAAATTCTCTTCAGGATGTACTACTGAGACGCAAGGGAGAATGAGTTTTTAATCAGCAATGAATGTACAAAAAATAGTAACACAAAACGCTGAGAACTTTCCGGACAACCTAATAACAAATACATACTTCAACTTTACTTATTCGGATCTTCTCCCAGTAAACCAATCGTGAAATTCAGAATGACTAGTAGATATGACAGCCAGCTGTTATAAGGTGGTAGCTGGAGTGCATCGTGCAAAGCTGCAGCCTTTCAAGGCCTCTAGCTGGGAAACGCTGTGCTAGTGCTAGTACGCCACGTCTCGGATGATTTGAACTAAACTCGCACAATAAGTTTTTAACTATGGTATGCAATTTTGAAGAATGTATCATTTTCCTTATTCGGGGCTGTGACGTGTACATCTGCGAGTGATGTCGAAGTATGTGCTCTCTCGATGTTTGTATGTCTTCTCTTCTGTACACGCTCTTCGCTTTTTTCGCGCTTTTCGCATACTCGTCCAATGCTCGAAATTTAATGGAGCTTTTTGAGAAACCGTTGAAGCAACGCCAGAGCTTGTGGTTTTCTTCATCTGACCAACGCTCCTCGAAGGGAACACCCCCATTGCAGTTGTCACACAGAGACTTTACTCATTTATGTACTCTTCAGAACATCAACGTCTGGTTTGTCGTCCGAGCGGAGCGTACAGGAATCTGACCCAAGAATAGGGCCTTTCGCAAAAGCAGAGATTCCAACTGATATTTATGCTAACGAAATTAAGGTACTCCAAGCGGTTCCTCTAGCAAAATTATAGAACGCCCAGAACTAGCCTCACTCTCTCTGGAAAGACTCAAGTCACACAAAAAGGTCATTACACTTGCAATCCAATTAATCATATTCGAAACATAACAGTGAAATCGACTACAAAACACCCTCTCGAAATCCATAACAATTCAGGAGGATCCGAAATAGGTAAAGGTCCCGAGTAAATAGACGGAAGGTCGCATTTAGAAACCCGAGCAAGGTAAACATATTTGACAATGAAAATAGACCACATTCACAAGAGTTACAATTTCAAAATAGATCGTCAGCCTCATCTTGAAAAGTCCCGTATGGATTCGGTGGACCCAAATCTACTAGTAATCGAGCTTCTATCGGTTCAGCTCGATAGTGAAATCGCGTCTCCGGTAGAAAGAAATAAAGAATAATCAGGAAGAACGATCTGAATAGAGAATTCTCGAGTAATAATAATTAATAATTAATTAATTCAGGCATAATAATAATAATCAATAGGTTGGCAGAATATGAATGTCTCCTTCCATTTTCAACACATTTCATTTAGTTTCAACTGCCTGGAGGCCAGTGAGCCCTCAACTTCAGAAGTCGAGCGTTAGCAGTCGAAACGGTTACTGTAGAGACAAGCAACGAGCGCGCCAAGGAAATTTCACATTCACCTCCCTACGGATTCCAGTAGTATACAACGTCCGGTTAAGGAGACTGATCAAAATTTCAGAATGACTCGATGATGCCCTCTCCGACCGAGAACCTTCATCTTTTCCCCTCATCCATTGAAGACTCACTCCGCGACTACCTCTCAAGTCGAATCCTTTCTTGGACAAAAAATCGGTACTGAATGTCATATTCTGTCCCATTTCCCCAGGAGGCTGCCCCATTTCCACATTTAGTGGCCAGAACGTTGTTGGAGAAACGCCTCGCCCATTTGGAAAACAGGTGTGCGAGCGATCTCTATTAATAAGCACGGGCATGACCTGTTGCGTTCGTTCTGTGTGGGACCGATTTTTGTCATCCCACTCGTATTCAAGCTTGTCTTCCCATTCTGACAATATCTGGTCCGTCGCCCTTGCCACAGTACTTCGCCCCTTCGAATGCCCTTCTGATGCTAGGACTTTACTCAGTGCATCTTACGAGATCTCAAACACTACGAACTGTAATCGTGGAAAAGTCCTCCAAAACAGAACAATTTTATCGATCTAGAAGTAGAGAGTGTTATAGATGGAATTTTTGAAGTTTTTTGAAAAAAAATCTCGATTCCTGCGAATTGGACATTCATATTCCACCAGACTGATGCAACATCGTGACATTTTCTTAGTTCTTACGTTGGGACGATGAAGAGGAGATAGCTCCATCCGCCGAAGCTTTCATTCAGAGGATAATACAGGAGAGTACTGAGCATGGAGCAGAACCAATTCACAGCCACTGCAACACCTGTAAAAAAACCAATTTTTTTTCTATTTATTCCAATCATGTCGTATTGGTGAAAACTGTCTGAACTTAATATGCACAAACCGAGAGATACGCCAGCTGCTTCTGCTGGTACCAATTCTGCAGGGATAAAATATGCAACAGGTCCAACACCCAAATTATAGCCAACACCGAAGATGAAAAACGCTCCCAAATAGAACCACGATGCCCACCAGCCTTCTGAAAAGACAGTTTTTACAAACTTATCCTTTCTATCGAACGCCAACAAAAGTGTAGATATTTTTCTCCAGCCATTCCTTTTCCAACCATTCCTTTCAAAATAGAGAAAATGCCGGAATACAGGAAAATTCATAGAATCTGTCGTTATCACAATTTCGTTCCCTTCACCTAACCCTGAGTAGCCGAAACCATACTTCCACAACTGTTTCAAGCAAGTAATTGAATTAGTTGCCCATATCAGAATTAGACTTCTAGTGCATCACTGGCGAAGGAGGTGTAGAGGGAGGTGGCACAACTCAGCACGCCTACGAACGGCGCAATCGTTTCATCGATCAAAAATGATTACCTCCTATCCCTCCAAAAAATCCTCTTCAAGTGCGACACCCCTTCCCTAACCTACCTAGCATCTTGCTCAGTTGTCCCATTTTCATACCACCTCTGCCACCCCTGAAAAACAACCGTCGAGAGGGGCCGTGGGTTGGGGTGGTCACCAGTTAATTATTAATTTTAACTGCCGAGTCGGCAACTAAAGGAATGGGAAGTCGATTTCAAGCTTACATGAAAAGAGAAGTGGGAAAAATCAACAAGCTGAAATAAATCTCTTCACAGCTCGGGAAACATTATTCAGAATTTTTTCGATTTTTCTGAAAGGCAAATGATACGCTCTCCCCCCTCCCCCGTCCTCCCTATAAGATCCAACGACACCGGGTGGGATACGTAGCGCATCCCAATGCATGAACTCTATCTTTTCGATCTTATGTGCTTCAGTGTAAATAAACTTCAGGCAAATGGAATTAGAGTTTGTAAAAATAGACGGAATTGGAAAATGACAAAAAACCGAAAGTCGCAACTTTTTCCTCACCCATAGAGAGAAGGGAAAATACTAGTAGAAGGCAGTCAGCTAGGAGACATAGCAATAGCGTATTCAGTAAAAGTGTACGTCTGCTCGTCGTCTCCACCTGTAACTCAGTGCTATAGAGTTGTATAAATGCGAGAAGGGTGTAAATGTAAACAATAACATTTTATAGGCACATTCCACAGTTATGGAATGGGCAGGGACTCACATACTAGTCGGCATTTATGTTTTCAGCTTAGTTGTTTATTCTCTTGATACAAAGTTGCTTGTCTAGATCTGATAATGTGAAATCTGGTCTCGGTTAAGTCTGTCGTGCTCACTTCTTTAGACGCGTACGCAAAAAACGCCGTTTGATGTCGGCATGGGAAAATAGATAACTCTCCTTATCTAATTTATCACTTTTGTCCCTAAAATTTTCGCAAACCTTGAGATTTTTTTGCGGGTCGATTTGCTTTGGTTCCTACGACTTTTTTCCATGTTTCCCAAAATTTTCCACTTTTTAAGCCAAGAATTCTCCGTCGAGCGATGGGGGAGGAGGTCGTCAGGGTTTAGTTATCATTTTCAGCTATCGGAAATAATAGTTGCATAGATCTTTGGTTTGACAGTTCCTCTCTCAACAACGGCCAAATACGACCCCCTCCCCCTTTATACCGCCCGTGAAACAAGAGAAATCTAGGGACCAAAAATTTCCTCAGACCAACTACGACCCCTCTCCCTCACGGTCAAATACGACCGCCCCGCTGTGATTATCCCATCACAACGATGGCGTGCCCTGGTTGTCGCCTCTTTGGTGGCTTGATAGTGAGCTGTCATCACAAGCCGAAGGAGTATCACCTGTAGAAGTTGCTTCCACCCACCTGTGGAAGAGATAAGCCAGCGGTTCTACATTTATAAATACATCTGTGATCCCCTGCACACATTCTGCGCAGATCTTCCCTTGTGGTCTTGCTCGTCTTCCTACCCTCTCATCCTTTTTCTGCGGGCTACACAGCACTTTTTTCAAATGTGAGTGGTGGGCCTTCATCGAGGTGCTTTCAACGATTTTGCCACCTTGTTTTTCTCAACTTGTGTAGATATTTGAATTTCAAAATTCTCGGAATCTATGCGTATCTTTCAATCATTTCTCCTCACCTAGGATAGCCGGAGCGATAACAGCCAGCCCCACGTATGTTCTCCTCCAAGAATAAAGCCGAGAGACAGCACAGCTGCAACCGCAGTACCGAAGCACACTGATATGTGCAGGAAGCAGCTCAGTGAACCCTGAAATTGAGAATTCCTCTTTTGCTTCCTGCAAGTGAACAGAGCACTGGCACTTAGGATAGCAGAGCAAAAAGCGCTGGCGATCGGACATTCGCGAGAACGCGGCGTCGTGGGCGACTCAGCCATGGACGGTACATCAAACGATGGCGCCGCCGTTCCGAGAGAGTATAGACGTAGAAGAGAGCACCAAACTGTTTCTCTGTACACAGCATGTACCTCCCCTCTCCTATACCCTCCCAAAACACTATACTTTGGCAAACTCCTAGTCTCCTATATCCTTCCAAACACTAGCAGGCGGAGCCAGAAGATTAGTTACTGGGCAATTATGTATTGATACAAACTAACCTAGAGAGAAAGGCCTTACCTTTATTTGCTCTCTCTCGCGAGCAATCTGTTTGAAGCATACAATGGAAGAAGAGACAGCGATCCGGTGACCACCCAATCAGAGACGAACGCAAGGTAGCAGCGAGGCGAAGTTAAGCAAGAAGCCGCCTGTCAACCAAAAAAAATCACTGATCAGGGAAACGAAAATGATTGAAGTTGCTCGAAGAGTTGTTCCGGTCTACTCAAAAATAGGCACATGTTGAATTGTTGGAATTAACCTCGTTTGATATTTGGTTTCAGTCGGAGGGTGAGGGGAAGTAAAGGGCCCTTTTGATTACCGAGTATTCTCGTCCCACACGTACCCTAACTCAGAGTAAGGGATGGTAGCTTTGGAATGGCATGTACACTATCCGATGTGTCCTTCCGCAATGACTACGAATCCGTCTTCTATATCGTAGGGAGCGAAGGAATTTAGGGGGGGGAGGGCGTGTCACTTTGAATGAATTTCAGGTGTAAAGACGCTTCGAATGTGAGACAAGTTGGCAACAATCGGAAGCCAACCACGGCACCGCTGAGCTACGGTACCACACTCGCAGCAGATGTAGGCCCATTAAATAAGTAGAGACTTGCTCGCTGCGAGCGCTGGGGCATATCACGAGAGGTGAATTCGAAGCGGCACCACTTTGTTATCCACCAATTGTGATTGCCAGACTAAATCAGTGGAAGAGGCAGGTTTGGCGCCGCTGCAAAACCGCACCCTTGAAACGCTCCATCCGCGAGATTGAGATTGAGACTGTGATAGTGGGTATGCTCCGATGAAAATCGTAGTAAGGTAACGAGAATGGTCTGAACACATCTCTTCCTAAACGCACACTTCAATCGACACTATCTTTTCCCTGTTGGTCGGGTACGCAGCAGTTCTAGTTTTCCTATCAGAAGTGGTGGCTTCACCGCTCCACGGCTTCTGAGGAGTTTGCGCTGGAGAGGGAGTTGTTTTGAGGGAGGATCTTCACAACACGATGAGCTGCCCCACCACGAGGACCCTAATGCCGACGAGAGCGGCACAAAGGCAACCAGCTCAAAACGTGAAAACTCACATGGAGAATGATCCGAGCAATAGCAGGATGTTATTCACCAACATCAACGCGCTTTTTACGCCGTACGTATGTAACAAAGGAGTGACCATGAAGCATCCAATCAGTGCACCGAGGCTTTGACATGAGACAACTATTGCCCTGGAAAAAAAACGTTCTCTTTGTAAGAGGTGTAAAGTCCCGTAGATCATAGTAACTATATAGTAGTAGTAGCGGCCCTATCTATTTCTTCCATCAGCGCTTCTACTGCGCGAGCTTGGTGTGGGATAGCGGTATTGCTCGAGTCATTTTACGCACTGGTACATTTAAGGTATCACATGACGATCGAGGCTTCTTCTCCGCACCGAGATCTCGCCGCCGTCCAGCTCGTCCGTTCGACTCCTCGCCCCAGAAGATCTCCTCCACGATCGTCGCCTCATGGTTCCAGCTCACTTCCAAGGTCCGGCTCACTACTGATACTCGACAACCAATGCGATCTCCTTCACTGCAAGCTAATAAAGTCTAACTAATCAATTCAATGTTATTCAACACAGCACGCGGGGTGCACTAAACCCGCAAAATCTGACTGGAAAAAAAAAAAAACGCTTCTGCTGGGGTACATGGGCAATCAGCTGATCAGGTCTCCGGGCCAGAGCGGGTGGTCGCTGCCCACCGCAATCAATAGTAGTAATCTCAACTCTTGTGAACAAATAACCCATGAGAAAATTTTTGTTCTACTATGGTGTGTTAGCTTATACGTTTTATTGAGCATCTGTTCTAGAGCCTCTAAAAGTCCTTCTTCGGAAAACTTCCAACACTTATGAACTGTGAAATCAGAATTTTATTTGGCCCTTAGTACCCATTAAAATGCAGTGATTCAGTAAAGAAATGAAGTAAGACGCGACTGAAAAGGATTGGAGGAAATTTGATCAGATGTATCCTCTGCCCCGATGGCGGGATAGACAGCTTAGGCGGTTAGGATGACCTGACCTGAACGGGATTGAGATTCACTGCTATCCGGCGAAATCGTGCTAATTAACATATGTACATTTCAAGAACGTACCACAATACAGCTACGGCTCCTGGAGATAGCACTACGCCAAATGTTGTAAACATGCTTTCGTTCAGAGATCGTTGCAGTATCAGAGCTGGCACGTTTAAGACCAGCATGTGATATCTTGAAATAGTCGTAGTTAGGTTGTACCTTACGGAGACATTGTAACTTGTTATACAACATTGTCGGAGACCATTAGATTACAATCCATAGTTGTGAGCCAACTTCGGCTCGGGGCTTCACAAGATTTCACAGAGCTCTACTTACTTCGAGAGCTCTAATTTGGCTCGAAGCAGTCAGTGTAGTGGCACCGAGGTGCAGAATGCCCCAACCCCTCCCTCCTTCCTGTCGCCGATCTGCTCCTTCTTTCTTGTCTGAGTGTCCCTAAAACCATCGCTGCTTAACGCCTCCTCCTATATTTCAAGCTCCTTCTGCCCCTTCTACATGATCTGGGCAGCGCGAAAACGCGCAAGAGAACAAACCTCCAGATTGCTTTTAAGCTTTCCTTTTAAGCTTTTGGGTATTCCGTTGTAATCAATGTGCTAGATACTCTGTAAAATGCTGTAAAATTTTGTAAAGATATATTCATTACAAACGAGAGGGCGACCGTGGATTGGAGCGCAGCTTGTGCGGCTTTTTTCCACCCATTGGCACCCACATGAGCAAGCAAAAATAGTGAGGAGCGCGTTCTGGCCGTATTCCAATCCACGCCCTTTATTGCCATCTCGTTTACAGGCATAATTACTTCATGTCATAATGTAT